TGTATATTTCACGGTAATTTCATATTATCTTTGAGATATATTGTATATTTGTTATTGATATCTTCGTCGGTGAAAAGAAAAATGACTTGCATAAATATATGTATAAATAATGATTCATGATGAGATATGATTCACATTAATAATACGTGAAGTTATAACTAGAAATGAATTTTAAAAGGGGATTACAACAAGTGATTAGTGTGTATTTAATTATGTGTCGCGCCAAGAATATGGTGATATATATTACGAATTAAATTAATTAATTAAATTTAACTTTCCAGAATGCTCGTATTTAACAATAAGTTTAAAAAACTTTGACTAACTCTGGGCTTTTTATACATGTCATCTATTCATAAAAATCTCTTCTTTTTACACCAATGATAAATTTTTGAGTCAGGAAATTTATCATTAGTGTAAAAAGAAAAGATTATCATAAGTAATAATAATGACATGAGTATTAGATGGCATGAAGATATGTAACATGAATAATATATACACACACACATACACACGGCATAATGCAATCGTTCTATGACGCAACACTTGGCACATTATATTAAATAGGCACATTTTCACTCATCTTATCGAGTAGGTGGATTTAGTGACCACGTGTATACGGCCGCGCCTCGCGTCGCGTGAACTGTCATTATCTATTTTCAGTTGGGATGATCTCACGCCATGGGATTAAATAATTCTCTCTTGCAGCATACGCTTGGACTGACATAATATCCACACATCGCGGTCTGTATAAGCCGAGTGTCTCTTCGGATCTCAACCGAAGCATCATCTTGCGATCAAGCGGGACGGTTTTGCTCCTGTCATTTGGTCTGCACGAAAATATCTAGCGTTCTCAAATCGCGGGTTGCGAATAAAAAAAGAAATGAAGTGTATAACATTGCTACGTTTTATATCCTCTCTCCGTCGTGATAATAATTTTCGGAAATAATTTGAAAATCAATGAAATCTCGCAACTGGGAGTTTCGGGGAACCAGACGCGCGCGCATCGATCATTCATCGTTATCGCCGACGTTTACGCCTTTTATGCTGCACGATAGCTCTCGTAATCGATCCGCGCGGCGTTTTTATTTTCGCGTCCTTCGATGTCAATCGCAGTGCATATCTCCGACCGGAGGACATTAATTAAACGTTGATCATGCAGGACTATAATTAAACGTTAATCGTGGCTAGTGCGACAAATATTTATTCAGGTATAGAACATGCGTGCTAGTGTTTGTATAGATCGATCGATCAGTTATAGATACGCACTGCGAAATTTTAATAGCTAGTAATTAATACAACTTAAATCATAATAATTTTCTTGAATTAATATTATCATATTTACAAGAGAATTATACAAATTCATACAATATCATACAATCTGACACATGGAAAGGAAATATGAGATTCAATGGAAAATGATCTCAGCGAACGTATTTACGATGAAGCAATTGATAATTGTCACGCCGTAGCATATATGTATGCACAATGCTCCGATCGATCTTTGCTTCGGTTATAAAGATCGTGAATTATTTTCCTCATTTGTCGAGTCTCAAGTTCCTTATCTGTGATGCCGAAAGTCAAAATAACTGATTTCATAAAATGTCACTTTATCTTGCTCGCTCTTATTCCTGTCTCACTTTTGTTCTCGACAAGTTGTACTTTCGAAAGATTAATTAATAAAATCATGGCCGAGGTTCTCTGAGTAATGAAATTTTATAATTAGAAAGCGTTAATTTGTCATCGATAGATATGTATAAGCGATTGAAATAATCTCTAATAGTCGTAAATAAAGTTACTCGATCGATTAGATGGAAATATACATATAAGAAAGCTCGTTATTATAACGAGATTATATTAAATCGTGCATTTAATTCTAAACCTGTTTGAGCACATATAATTAAAAGTGCTGAGACAGAAAATAATATTAGAGCTGTTTTCCAAGCATGTCTTGAAAATACATATTATCGATCAGTTGTATCACATCTTGTTGACAGAAAAAATTATTAATATAACTTAATCGTGTCTCGCTCTTTATTCTTCGTAAATTTCAAGTTTTTTAAATTAAATATTTTCAAGTTATATCATTAAAGTAAATATTTTCAGATTAGAATCGAAATATTGTCAAAATTTTAATCAAATATTCTTTATTAATTATTGATGATTATTCACAATTTTTGGCCTATATTTATCTAAAAAAAAAAAAAAAATTCATTATTTTAGATAATATGTCAATCCCGCACGATATTTATCTGTAAATGAAAACAATCAACTCTCAAAAAGACTAAAGTGCTTTTTTATGCAATCGAATATACAAATATACATGCTTTGAAAACATGCAACAGACACGCTTCACTGTTTATAATCATATGAGTACACATGTTTGGCATATCTATGGCAATCCACACATATATATATACTACCATCGATGGGTTTTTGTATTATTTATTTATATTAAGATCCATCTCTCTTTCTACCCTTCATTCGTATGGATCAATGGTCCACTTAGACGCGCCCTTGCAAAGAATCGCCATCGTCGTCTCGCATATCGAGTCAAATGATGGCAACTTATATAGCAATGACGCAAACATGCGACGCTACTGCATTGTTGTGTTACAGTTTTAGAGTAACCGGAGACGATGGATCAAGGCTTCCCGGGGCAGCACACCACCACGACCACCGTGACGACCTCCACTACGACCACCCAGCCTAATATACGGTTTGATCCGTCATACGCGAGGACATTGCCTGGCATTCTAAAAATCGTACAAGTGGTAAGTCTATGGAGATTTCTTTTTTTTAGAGAAAGAAATGTTTTATATAAAAGAATACATATTTCGTATTATTCTTGAACTGCTAGTGTTTCAATACTGTTTGAACACAATATTCTGATAAATTAATTATCAAACTGAAAGGTTAATGATATTACTGAAAGATATTACAGAAGATTACGCGCGAGATAAATCTTTTTTAATGCCATAGATCTTAGAAAATATATCCATAATTTTTTTTTTATTTGGAAACACATAAATGACAGCGAGTCGAAATTATATTAGAAATTACGAAGTTCATAAAAGATTGAAAGGAAAGTGCAGTTTGCTCTATTAAATATACACAGTACGTATAAACATGCGCTTATATCGTTAGTTAAGATTACGACGGTATAAACAGCTGGTTGCGTCATAGACTACAATGGATTCTTAAATCTCATGTCGGTTGCAAGAGCCGTGAGACTTTATACCTGCATGGTATTGGCACAGCTGGGTAACACAAAATTTCCTGAATGATAATCACGTTGGGCTCTTCTTTCAGGTGCTAAATCTCTTGGGATTTATATGCATAACGGTGTCGAGTCTGAGCAGCCACAGCCGGGGGGGATGGTTCAATACCGTATCCATGATTGGTTTCTGGTTCACGGGGATCCTGCTCGTATTCTACTTGTTCCACATTATCGAGAAGTTCTCCAGGATTCCGTGGCTTAAGATTGTAAGTCGCCGGTAGTTGTCATTACACTGCTGATTTATATCTTCTAATCGCAAGATTTTCTATTTTGTTCGCTTAGAGAGGTATGCGCCTAAAATAAATGTAAATGGAAATAAGTAGGCGGCTGGTGAGTGGGTCGTACGTTCGATAATATCGTGTGACGCGAATACACGCATGTAATATTCGTGATACGCGGGAACCAGGGAGTGAAAGCTTGTTAGAAAGTTTCTACGCAGGAATCTAAAAATCGATCTATGTCATTCATACTTTTATACTCACGGGTGAACGATCGATTATGAGCGACGTAATGAGGACAGTCGTCGTCTGTGCTGGATCAAATAATCATTCATAATCTGATTATCCTTTTTTAAAAGTGCACACATACACGTATTATATATATAAATAGCATTACGTGGCGCGTCTCGTAATGTCGTGTAACATCTCTTTCTTCGAATCGCCAAAATGCGTGTCTGTATCTTTACGCAAATTCAGCCACGCCCGAATACAGTTTTACGATCTTTATTCTTATCGGTTGAGAATGTTATCTATATAAGAATGTTGTCTAATTCGTATACAATATTTTTAGGAATTCGTATTCTGTACGACATGGACAGTTTTCTACTTATTGGCCGCTTCCCTCGCAGCTGACTACGCGCGTTACACCGAGGCTTTTGGTGTTGCAGCGGTATATAAGAATTTTATATATATATTATTATTATTATAATATGTTGCATAAATAATGCAAATGTTGAAAAAATTTTGATAAAAACATCTCAATTTTTTTTATCGGAACAAAGAGAAAAATATAAGTCATTGTGTAAAAAATGACATTATTAAGGATGAATGCAACTTTAGTAGATTTTTCAAGTTTCGTACTGTTTAGGATATATACTTGTTGATTGTTTTCAGAATGGTATATAGACTTTCTTATACTGAGATATTATATTTTCCACAGTTCTTCGGTTTTTGCGCGATGGTGGCATATGGTTACGATGCTTGGCTGAAGTTCAAAGCGGTAAAGAGCGGCGCGTTGGCGCAGGGTCAGCATACGCCGAAACAAGTGTCCACTGTCGCCAGTCCGGCGTATTAAAAATCCAAGGGAGGGAGGGGTCCCGAAGCAGATGGACCACCGTTCGACCGATTAGACTGATCGATCGATCGACACATATCGTTACCTTTATGCGGGGCCAGCTCTTTCACATCGGCGTGTTTCTTTCTCGCGCGGAATCTCAAGGCGGCATGCACGGCGCGTGCTTTTCTCGGCTCGACGCTTTTTCCGTTCAATCACACGTATGCGTCGCGTGTGTTCGTGCGTGCGTATATTCGTTTATTTACATCCGCGCACGCGTACACTCGACTTTCCTTTCGTCTATATATTTTTTTTTGTACTTGTAACAAGGCAATAATCTACACTACGCTATAGCGTATCGTTGACTTATATTCTAACACGAAGAGGCGATGCGTTCATGTATGCAGTATCCTCTATCGAACAACGATTGTTAATATTTTGTAATAATAATGTTTGCCGTATCTTTGCTGTCGATCGATTTTATTCGATGTTATTTATGCGACGATGTACATGTACATACATACATACTTACACAGATCTATATGTATATACATACATATACGTTGTTGAAACTATATCTTAAATCATTGTTGAAATTGAGGCAACGCCTCACGCATCATGAGGCTCGGACGCGATATTAAATGCCGGTGCGACTGTTAGATCTATTTTAATCATCTCGGTCCTTGTTTGCAATTGGTCAGGCCAATCTTGTCTTTAACGATTTTCTGAAAAATAACGTTTGCATTAAAGAAAAGTTTTCGGTTTTATCGATTTCTCATAATTTAGACAAACATTTACATATATATAAATACAAATGTATAAATTTAATAGAGAGCGAAATATTATCTCTGTATAAAATATGAGTATCAAGAATATATTCGGATTCTTGCAAACAAGGACAGAGTATGCAAAAATTGAAATACCGAAACACGGTTTTCCCCTTTCTTGTCGTGTGTAGCCTTCTTAGACTGTCGTATAAATTCTTTAGATTGTTCGATATTGCGCTTTGCGAATCTCTGGAGGGATAAAAAGTGCAGTTACGTGCATATTGTACTGAGAAGAAAATTAAGAGAATAATGTAGTATGATCACATATATATACGAATACACACATACACATATACAGATACATTATTTAACTCCCGAGTCAGTCTATTGGCTCGCGATGAACATATTCACCGCATTTGTCATCATATCGGATCATTGTATCGCGTTACTCGGTACGCATAATCTCATAATGACGCTCACGAGATTCTTTATGCCAAGGACAAGAATAATTTATTACGAAGAATGCCGCACTTTTTCTATTGCGGCTCGCGCATAAATTATATTTACTATTTTTGTTATCTTTACTCAAGATTGAATCTATACAAGTACACATCTCACGGTATACACCAATATCAATGTCTAGTTGAAGAGATCTGGCGAATATTTACTCTAATGGATATTACTATGCATAATGAGACGATCGACAAAGTAAAACTTCAACATCGGTAAGTGTATTCAACGAAATAAATTATTGATTGTTGTTTCCCGAATATGAAATTCGATTCGTTACCGATGTCCTTTCGATGTAGAAAGAATTTTGTCAAATGATTGTCGTGTATGTGAAGTATTATGAATATGTCAGAATAAGATTATATAATATGTATATCTATGCACGAGTTATCTTCGTAAATGTATTTGATGTAGGATAAAGATCTGTTTCTTTTTCAACATCGAAAAACTTTAACAAAAAAGATGAAGCAACTTCTTCACTCATTGTCAGTATTATTATGTGGCGAGTTAAATTGTGAAGAATTGCATCAATCTCGATATATTTTCGCTCATTTTATGCTAATAATGTTATGGATATATATTATTAACATATCTCAGTTTATATATACATTAACTTATTTATTAAATGTGTCATTTACACTAAATGCATGATCTTACATGTATTACAGTACGTATAACTGGTGCTAAGGTCTCGATATCTTAACTTATTTATCAACTTTAATTAAACCTTAGAAAAACACGAATATGATATCGCATATGAGTTACGATATATGTTAAGGGTGACGAGGATGATGGCGAATATGCGTGGAAACGCGGATTAATCTCGTCCCTTAATTTCTGTATTGAAATTGAGGCCGTCGCGCCTGCTTTTTGCCCATCGACGAGAGATCGATGGTCTTTCCATCCGGAAGTACTAGCTTGTTCTCCTGGTAATCCACGAAGCCGTTCTCCTCCTCTTCCTCTCGTTGTTCCTCGTCGCATTTGATTCCGGTCTCGTACGTGTATTCGCGTCGAAGTCCATCAGGATCGATGTATCCGTACTTGCCGCTCGTTATGCAATCCACGCCGATCGTCTCCTCCTTGTACGACCCGTCGTCGTTTTCGAAGCCCCATGTGATGGAACCGTCCTCGTTGTCATGTCGATATCGCCTGATGATCTGTAATTCATTCATTCGAATATTTTACTAGACATACTTTCTCGAAGAAAAAAAAGAAAGAGCTCCAGGATATATTTCACGGTCCAGAGTATATTACGAATTCGGTATGATCTAAGGCTCATTTAAAGACACTGCCACACTGTCATTTCGTATAAATTCAACCGATGTTGTGTAACGCGTAAACAGGTTTTCTCTCTCGACTGCGTTTTATGAATTATCGAGTGTATTGGGATAAGAACAAGCATAACGCCGGATGATTGCGGCTTTCACTTATCAGTTTCAAAAAATAGCTTACATCAATCTTTTTCGTACACTGGGGGAAACGATTGTATTATATAATAATTTGTATGATCGAGATTTTTATGAACGTTTAAAAATCAATATTCGATCTTTGTGACAAGCTTGTTTTGATAAATCGGGATCTGATGCAATTTTCGAGGACGAGTTTTCGAGGATCGACTTTGATCAACCTTACCTGCGCTACCGGCTTCTTGCCGCGAATTTCGTAAGCCTGGGACGGTTTTACCGGTTTAGGCGGCGGATTGATCGGTTGTCTGAACGCGACATCGTCGACGATCTGCTTCCTCGGAGCCTTTGTAGGTTTCTGCGACGGACGATATTGAACGGGCTGCGGGGGTGGCGTCGCAAGACTTCCCCGGGCGATGCTCGTCGGCGTCACCGTCACCTGGGGCGAACGATACGCTGGCGGTCCAGGAACCAGCGGTACCGAAGCACCGAGCGGCCGCACCGATGGTGAATTAGGCGTCACGCGCTGCACCTCCTCGCTCACCTCCTCCTCGCTATTCGATTCCTGACTCAGATCACGAGAATCCTCGTTGTCGCGCTCGCGGATGGAATCGCGCGACACGTCCTCCTCCTCGGGCACCTCGTTCACCGGCTTCACGTGCTGCACGAACAGGGGCGCGGCCGCTGGCAAATTCGGTCGAAGTGGACGGAACGTACCGGGTGCATCGTCCCCAGGGCCACGAGGTCTGTAATTTTATCATTTGGCAAAAAAATTGGTAGATATATATGTTTTATATATTATGTACATGTGTGTGCTGGTATACATGCAGTTTTTAAAAGCATAGACATTTCTAAAATGTGTGTATATGTGTACATACACGTGTGTTGTTAAATTATATATTAATCACATTTTTTAAATATGTAGTCTATCCTTTTTATAAATGCAAAAACAATTTTCGTTTTTGCGAGATATCGCAAAACTGTAAATTGTAAACGAAATACGCGTAGAACTTTGCAAATATGAAAATTATTTTAATTTTTTTTGTTTCTCTCTCTCTCTCTCTATAACACTAAATGTAGTGTTATACTATAATAGTTCCACTCACATGGAACAGGTATTTCTACTTTTTTTTTTTGTTTTACTTTGCAAACCTACTCAGAAATGATATATTTGTATGCCAATAATTGCGTAATCAGACGATTCTCAAATTCTCAAATTCTTGTCGATAATTTCGCGTTTCCTGCTCCGTGCAAGAGTACGCGGACGTTGCATCAAACCTGGGCTGTCCGTTAGATAATTAACAGCGGTATATTTTACACCTCCTAAGTAGATATGCGCACACCACCCAAACTGGTTTTCCAACCTTTCCAATAGCTCGTAACTCTATTCAAATAGGCGGATTATGTGGATACTTTTAGAGTATGCGATTATTTATATTCGTTATGGCTCGCTCTCTCTAATAACGTAAGTTTCCCAACAAGGTCGCATTCTATTTTGACATATTATCGAGGCAATAATAACGTAAATTTTCTGTATTGATATAATTTTCAACAATGGGGACAAGAATGAAAGCAAAGAAATATATAGAAATATTTATTTTATTAAAATTAATTTATTACGACAAACGTAAAAATAAATTTTAAATTGTATCGAAACATTCCATACGGTTAACTATCCCAGTTGAGTCAAGTAAGATGATTAATGATCATGTGCATTACCTGAAGGCAATCGGTCGGCGAAGTCGTTGATTAGGGAAAGCAGGTGGTGGTCCAGCACTTGGCCGAAGAGGTGGCGGTAATTTTTGATAACGCGTCGCTCGTAGCGGGATCGCCCCTTTTTGTCCTTCTTGAAACTGTGCCGAACCTGCGGCGACACACGCCAAAATCTGGAACAAAAAATTACGATTTTATTTTCGCTTTTATTGCTGTTATTTAAAAAACCTTAATTAGATACATTAACTATAAAGCACGATTATTGTGTGAACGGTCGCAAAAAAATATATCTCAATGAACGATCATGTTACATTTTAACGTTTTATGCTCTTGTATTGATTAATATATGTTTTCGATATGGACGATTTAATCGGCTACTTTCTGTTGCGCTCTTTGAATCGCGCGCTGATCATGTGAAATCTACAGTTTACGATTTTTCCAAAGATTAAGTCGGTTAACGATAGGATAACGATAGAATTTCCTTCCAAGTTTTTACCGCGACAACTCCGTCGGAAATACTTTTTGTAATTCTCTCTCTCTCTCTCTCTACGCGCGTCGTTAATAATGTATATAATGCTAATAATAATGTACAACTATTATTTACGCGCGTTACACAAATTTCTATCCTTCTATCCTGATTCTCTGATCGATGAACGGCAACGAGCGCAGCGAAACTATTCGTCACGCCCGCGTGTAACGCGAAACTCGTTCCGCGCGGCATGTACACGATATTCCGGTTTGCGCGCTTTGCGTTACAAGTACGGCACCGGCTTGCATACATACGCAAAATCGTCTCGTGCAAGAGAAAAGAGAAAGTGATTCGATTTGAGGGCCTTAAATTGCGGCATTCTTTCGATCCCGCATATAGATACACGCGTAATCGTTTAATTGACATGACATTTAAGCGACGACGGAAAATACGAAAAGGAGAGAGATGCGTTTTGTACGCACATGAATCGGAAAATTCGCGATAGAAACGCGGTAGAAATTGAAATAATTGTTTATTACCTCTGTTTATTACCTCTGTTTTATATCTCTTTCACTTTCATCGATTCCTTCATATTTCCAGTATATGATTGGATTTAACTATTCGCTGTTTATAGATATATACGATAGGCAAAAAAAAAGTTCTTAAATTACAATATTTTTACTTCTTTTTTTGAAATATAATATAATGAGAGAGAAATTTATATATTTATTAATATTTTTTATTCAAGAATTTTTTTTCTTTATTTTTAATCTTTTCTATTCAAGAAAATCTTATTTTTATTAATTTAATTTAATAACTTAATTTTGTCGCGACAAAAATAATTTCTTTTAAGATTTATAGATACATGTCTAGTCTTGTGTTATTATTAAATCTATTTTAGTACAATATAGAATTTTGTGCCTGGTATACAATACAAAAAACATTTAAATGGGAAAACTGGCAGATAAGAGCCAAAGCGCGGATATTGGTGCGCAAACTTATTATTGTTAAATTTTGGATTATATTATAAACCACCGACGGATATAAGTATGGCGATAGCATTTGGACGTTGTCCATTAATTTGTATAAACTTTACACGAGTTTCGGTGAGCCTTCTTTTCTAATTATAAATTGTAATTTGAAATTTGACTGCAACGACAAATATTGTGTATGTCAAATTTTTAAATTTTATAATGTAATCTTTATATATTTATTTTCAAGTTGGAAATGAAACAAAAAAGGGTCCGAAACATATATTTTTAATACACATTTGTTAATAAAACTTAACAATAATATGTTCGCGCACCAATACCAGCGCCTTGGCTCTTATCTGCCAGTTTTTCTACTTAATTGTTAGTATCTTGACCTGTTATTACAAAAAACATTTAAAAAATAAAAATGTGCATGTATGTAAAGTATATTAGTATACGAACATACATCGATACAAGGTGCACGGCGTATGTAAAAATTACATATAGAATGCCTTGAATTTACATTGATCAAGTATACTTATATATAATTTATTAAACAAATTCTAGCACGCGTTTGGTGCAACTTGAAATAAAACCGAGTGGGGTCGACGAATTCTTTTCTTTTACGGTTCTCCGAGTCGAGGCACGCGCAAGATACGAAAAATCTGCTCGCAACTTTCTTACAGCGAACGCTTTCACTCG